CGCCCCCTTAGTGCAGGTCCCCCTGCCGACGCGCTTGCGTCCAACCGGCCCCCCCTCAACCCCCCATCCCACAAATCGAACATAACCCCCCAAAAACAACCCCGATCTCAATTCTGACAATTTCGAGTGCTGTACAGCCTCCCATGACCTGGCAGTCACTTCACCCATGTGACCCTCCCCAAAAAAAGAGAACCGCCCGCATTTGTCTCCGAGCCGCGTTCCACGCGCCCCGACGCGGGCGCGTGCGCCGCCAGGCAAGCCGCCAGGCGCCGGGGAGGCCCCGCCCTCTCCGGCGAAGGGCCGCAGCGCCGGCGGCGGCCGGCCGGGGTAGGGGCGGCCGGCCGGGCTCACCCTGATGCGCGCAAACGCATCAGGGGGTGCTTGACGCGTTTGGGCGCTGCCTCACCCTGAGGGTGGTGCCGTCGTGCTGCACCGTCTTGTACTCCTTGGTGGAGCCGGGGTAGCAGTCCTCAAAGGTGGGGGTCTGGCGGAACACGAGGTCCTCAGCCTTGGGGGGGGGGGCGTGATTGTTTTTTGGGGGTCGTCAATTTTTAGATGGGGGACGAAGGGTGATCCGTAGCTGTTGGGGGTTGTGTCGGGCATTAGCAAGTTGTTTGAGGAGCAGTGAACAGGTGCGTCGCAGGATGAAGGGTGTTTGATCGGCGCGTTTTGCGGAAAGAATCGGGCCGACACACTCGGCGGGCGCTTTTTGACCAGGTGGTGGCTGATGTGTCGGCGTCGGCAGCAGCGGCCAAGGGCCTGGACGCCCTCTCTCCTATGTCTAAAAATCCAGTCATCGAAGGGAGGAATATCCCACGGCTTCAAGGGCCTTCCGCGAGGGACAACTGATCTTTGGTCTCGCCGCAGCCTGGTCCCGGCGGCAGCCTCGGCCTACCTTTTGGCGGCGGTTCACGCTCTGCTTGGCAGCCATTGACTTGAGCTCCTCAAAAGCATCGACCTTCTCGAGCCGCGCGGCCTCGGCGTCCAGATCAGACTGGGTCTGCTCCCTGGCCCTCTCCAGGACCCGAGCGCGCAAGGAACGGGTGACGGGAATAGCCGCGCGCCTGGAAGCAGGGGCGCAGGCCAATGGGCCGCGGGCCTGAGCGCAGATCATGCTGGCAGCGGCACGAAACGCCTGAAATCAGACTTGCAGGGTAAAAGAGCAGGCTTAAAAACGCAGTTGAATGTGACTGTCCTACGCTGGCCCCTGTATATGATGGCTGTAGCGCGATCTGGAGCTGGTAGGCCAGCTGGTGACACCTGCTGCGTCACTGTGGAGTGGGTGGCCTAGAAATGACTGTGCACTGCAGTTGATGTCTTCATACAGCATGAGAAGTGAAATTGGCTGCTTGGGATGACGAGACCACTGCATCGTTGCAGGTTGGCGGCCACCGTCACACGGTGCGCTTCGACACGCATCTGCAGCAACCAGCACCCAAGTGTGCCAGCGGCAGCGCGACCCACTTGTAAGCGGTGTGGATCCCACAAGTGCGCTATTCACAGAGGCTTCATATTGGCGGCTGGTGTTCATGGGTGCCCTGCATGCAGCACAGGCCAGAGGGCACGCTCAGCACCGGTCACGCGATGGTGGGACGCGGGGAGGGAGGCGCGTTTCATCCCTCCGCCATTTCCGAGCTCGAATCCGCTTCAGCAACATTAGCCCGGAGTTGCGCGACTAGTGAGTGCACAAGCTGCAGTTTTGCTGCTTGTGCAAGGATGGGTGCTCTGCTGGCACCTGGCAGCGGTTTCCTGACCAAGGGCGATGGTTGCATGTGCGTACTGCCGCGTCAACGCACCACCGGCGTGACATACTGGTGTGTCCGCGTGCTTCTACATTCTCGCACTTAAGATACATATGTCGCAGCACCGTTCTTTGCTGTTCTGATTCCTCATCAGTTTGTTGACTTTGAAATTTATATCCGAGCCCAAGATGCAAGCGGGCCTCGCGGGAGGCGTTCCTTAGGATACGCGTGGTCTTACCATGGATTCTATGCTGTTAGAACCCGCCGGTGGAGCGGCTGGCAGCAGGGAGGCAGCGCTGCTGCGAGAGCAGCAGCAAGCGAAGCGGGAGTTTGCGGTGAGTGATTGGTCTAATCCACTATGTAGAAGAATTTCAATAGATCCCGCATCACCAGGGGGTATGACAATTGCGCCCTGTTCGCCCAGTCCTCTGCTAGCGCTCTGCTGCTGCTGCGCTCGCGCATGCGGCCATGCACGGTATATGTACAGCAGCACACCTGGCGGCATGCGAAATTTGAAATTGCGCACAGGACCTGTCGCGCCGCTATGCGGAGAAGGACGCCAAGGAGGGCGCGCTGCGCCTGAAGCTGCGCGAGGCGCGTGCCGCGCTCGCCGCGCGCGAGCGGCAGCTCGCTGGCGCGCAGCGCGCGATGCAGCGGCTGTCGGAGGACAAGGCGCGCCTGCAGGTGCGCGCAGCGCAACGGCAATCGGTGCGCTAGCATGCTGCGGAGGCCGCTTTGCGGGCCGACTTGACCCCAGCATGGGCACTCCCTTACACAGCAGCGCGCCGCTCCGCGTGACCCCCGCCTCACGGCACACGTCGGCGGTGGCGAAGCGCCGCACACTGCATGAGTGTTGGGGAAATTCCGCCAGCGGCTTGGGGAAGCGCGGCCTGGTCGCAAGGCCAGCTGCAGCCCCAAGTACGGGGCCCACCAGCGGGGGGTTGGCGGCAGTCTGCGCAGCCTCCCCACTGCGGGTGCCAACCCGGGCGCAACCTTTCCCCCACGCAGGAGGAGGCGGCGGCGGGGCGGCTGGCGGCGCAGAAGCTCAAGTCGCGCGCCTCGGGGCTGACGCAGGAGCAGCAGGAGCGGCACCGCAAGCAGGTGCGGCCGCTGCACACAAACACACACACACACACACACACACACACACACACACACACACACACACACACACACACACACACACTCATGAGCACGCCTCGCTTGCGCCACCGCAAGCAGGTGGGGCCACTGCAGCCATGCCCTACGTTCAGCCCCGCTTGCGCTACAGCAAGCAGGCAGGGCCGCTGCTGCCTTGCCCCCCCACCCTGCCCCCGCCCCGTGTCGGCCGGCCGCACTCGTGCCGGGAGCCGCGGACCAACAGAAAAAAGTACCGAACGAGCAAAAGCACATCAGGAAGCCGTGCCGGATGCAAACAAGCGGCGCTTCTTAGGCAAGCGTGGTCGTATCGCCTCCCAACGCAGACGGAAGAGCTGCGGCGGCGCTTGGCGGAGCTGGAGGCTGAGCTGGCAGATGCGGCTGAGGTGAGTCATTACAGGATCCTCACTCGGCGCTGACAACACCACTCAGACACCACACACACACACACACTCACGCACGCACACACACACACACACACACACACACACACAAAACACACACACACACACTTGCGTACGTACGTGCGCACTTACTCATGCACACACAAACACTCACATACACCCACATGACACACGGTAAACGTCGACACTCACACCCGCCAGGTCAGCATCGAGCAGCGCCGCCAGGTGGAGGTGCTGCAGCGCGCCCTCGAGACGCGCGCCAAGGACCTCTCCCGCAAGCTGGGGGCCGGCGCTGACGTCACCGCCGGGCTGCTGCACGCGCTGGCAGGTGGGTGCGGGGGCCCGGCGGCTCCGCACGCGCGCCTCCCGGGGTCCCGAGGGACGAACGAGAGCAACAATAGCAGTAAAGACGCGGCGCGGCCCCGCATCACAGCGGATGGGGCGCTTCTGCAGGCCCTGGGGTTTGAGCCTTGGTCGTTCGCTCTCGCGGCGGCGTTGTTGCGGGCCGCTTCGGTCTTGCACAAGGCGGCCGCGCGAGGGTGGGTGAGCGGCGCAGGCTCCAAGCGCCCTCCCGTAAGCCGTGCTGTGCGTGAGCACGTCCCCGCTGTCCCCGCTTCTGCCTGCAGAGGCGCGGGAGGAGTCGCTGTCGATCGCCAAGCAGCTGGCGGAGGCGAAGGCAGAGCAACACAAGATGCGCACCGCGGCTGACAAGGCACGTGTGTTAGGGGCCGGTGATCGCGGCGGCTGGCGGGCGATACGAAGGGCGAGGGGGGGCCCTGCGCCACGCTTACGCCGGAATTTGTGTCGGCGGTGGTGTGCTGGGCATCTTGCTCGTCTGGTAATCTGCTTGCGTTGCCGCACCTCACTCCGCTGCCATTGCGCATGTGCACGCGCGCGTGAGTGCACATGAGCATAGGCACGCTGGCATGCAGACGCATGTGCACGCACAATCATACACTCTCACGCACATACATAACATCAGATTTTTAATCCTCGCGCACCGCAGCTGGCGCAGCGCCTTGAGACAGCCGAGCTGGTCCGCTCCGACGCGGAGGCAGCTGCAGAGCAGCTGCGCCAGCGGCTCGAGAAGCTGGTGGCGTCCGGCTCCTCCTGGCAGGTCCGAGCATGGGGTCGAGAAGGCCCACCCTAGTGCTTGATAACATGCATGTACCTTGGCTGATTCAGCATGCAGCATGCAACCCTCTCTTGTTTGGCGATAAACATGCGCCCGCAGGGGGTGCGCAAGCCCCCAACCTACCCCCACCTCACTGCCCCCGCGCGGCACGTCGCCGTCCCGTGTGCAAAAGGCCGAACGAGAGGAAGCCGCCGCGCAGCTTCTCGTGCTGCGGGAGGAGGTGGCACGGCTGGGGCGGGAGCGGGACGACCTGCTGGACTGCCTGGAGGAGGAGGAGCAGCAGCAGCAGCAGCAGCAGCAGCAGCAGCAGCAGCAGCAGCAGCAGCGCGTGCCCGGCCGGCAGGGCGCGGCGTCGCCGGGGCGGCAGAGGGGGCGGGAGGAGGGCGAGGGGAACGCGGCAGAGGAAGGCGGCAGGTGCGGGCCGCAGGCGCGGAGGGGCGGGGAGGGGGCGGG